TTCTTCTTCTTCTTCTTCTTCTTCTTCTTCTTCTTCTTCTTCTTCTTCTTCTTCTTCTTCTTCTTCTTCTTCTTCTTCTTTGTTTAATGCTAGTACTCTATTAGAATATAAATGTTTTTGAGAGTAAAGTCTTTGCATAGATCATCCATTTCCAAGTGACCATTGATCTTTGATGTGCAGCAGATTCTCCAAAAATTCTTGTTGAATCAACCAATATGCCCTGGGCATTTAGTTCAACTTCTATCACTTTCTATAACTAAGCACAAGCAGTTGGTAACATTTGGCTTGCACGCGGTGTATAGAGACAATTTGATAAAATGTAGAGGCGAGCTCATTGCTGCCAATGCTGCCAGACGAAAAAGATTTGTTTCCCCCAGAAAAGGCGGCCTAACACTTCAGCTACCATTATTAATTTGGCTGGACAAGAGTGAAGCTTTCGACAAGCATCTTTCTCTTCACTTGTAGAAATAAAAGTAATAACATCTATTTCCCAAAACTTGTATGGGGATAAATGAGACAGAGTCAGGAAACAGCCATCTTTGCAATGAGGTTTGCTTATTCTCATTTACTCAGTGAGTTCCGCTAACATTCCTAAACTCCTGCCCTGCTCTTGGGCCTTGCTGCTCAGGAGACATGGGTACCATTTTGGATTCAGACTGTAGTGTTCCCCTGAGTGAAAAAGAACATTCAGAACTGTTTTCTCCCCTAAATGGAACATCTAAATACCAGATAAGATCATTTGAATACATTATATGAGGTTCTTAACATTTCTATGCCTTATCTTTATTGGCCTTTACAAGGAGAAAAATGCCCATTAATTAAATTCAGAGATATCAGAATTGCAAAGGGAATTGTTCTGAACACCAATATCATGAACAAGAAGTAATATAACCTTTACAAAGATATTATTAAAGTGACTTAGAATATTAAAATTGTGGGAAGCAAACAGTGACAAGAGGTTCTGACTGAGGAAAAAAAATGTCCCCAATCTTTTTGAAAGGGAATCATAAATGCACATGTTATGGGCAACTTAAAAAATGATTAAAAGCGATAAGGGTGGTGATAGCTATGAAATGTGATAATGGTTTATAGGCTAGACAGTGTCTTAAAACAGTCCCAATCAGTGCTTGCGTTAGAGGCAAGGGACTCTCTTCACTGTCTTTGATTTTTGTTTTCTTGTGAGAAGAAATTGAGAAAAATCATTGCCTCCTTGACATTCCTTGAGTTTTGCAGAATGACATCTCCTTAGACTAAAGAGGAGAGAAGCATAGTAAAGCAGACATCAGATAATTCTTACATAACTTCAGCAGTCATCTGAATGGTTACTCTCCAGGTGTAACAGCGCATTATTACACGGAGAAGATGCACAAAGCGAGGATCACGAGGCTAAGTGATGAGGAAGCAGAGAAGGGTAAGAGCTCATGCGCCACTCTCTTCTGAAGAGGAAGGGAGAGGCCTGCTAAGTCAGGAAGTGATAATGAGATGATTCTGAGACATGTGACAGCACTGAAGTCCATTATGGCGGTAATTACCCTGTGCTGAGGGAATCAATTCTCGAGGTCTTTAAAAGTGGAAGAACACACTAAGAACTTTCTGTAGGGACGGCTCAGTAGGATGGTGTCAGGGCTGAGATGACGCCGTCTTCCGTCTGTAACTTGTGCCTTTCCATCTCATTAACCAAGCACGGACGCATCTTCAGCTTCAGCGATTCAGAGAGCAATGTAAGGATCACTGGCAGCTTTACAACTGATGTTCAAGGGTTCTTTCCCTGTGAATTCTCCCAGGGAACACTCTCAAGAGGAACCAGCACACCCAGGAAGAAATCCCACATAGCATGTGCCTCTGTCGCTCTGCATCCTGAAGTCACTTAGACAAAACCCAAACATACTTAGCTTTATTTCAGTGTTCTCTTAGGAGAGCCCATGACATCACTTCAAGTGTTTTTGTGATCCCCACTGAAACTATCATGTGCAATATTATTTCAGCAGCTTACTATTTCTCTACTATTTCAGATATAAATGTTTATGGTTTGTATCTGTGAACAGCAGAGTAAGGAAGGATCTAAGGCATTGAACCTGCTCACTACTCTCAAAACACCGTTTCAGCTCTTCCGTAAGTTACTTCAGGGAGAACCCAATAGGTCCCCAGCTAGCACCTCTCACTGTTTGCTGTTTCTCACATTTTTGTTTTCTTTTGTTTTTTAATATTCTAAGGCATTTAGCAATGACTTTGTAATGGAAGACTTTGAGTCTCAAGAAGTATGGATTCTTCCCCCAGATTACCATGAGGCCTTATCCCAATAAACTCATTAATATTAAAATGCTACAATTTCAAACAAATAGAAAATAGGAACTTGCACAGCATCTAGCCTAGCACAGCGTCCTAGCCTAGCACAGTACCCACAGAGTGTCATTGCTGGCCCTTGTGCTCTGGGGACTCACTGAGGTCTGTCGATTTGAGTCTCCTGTCTGTAATCATGAGAGAACATCATACCACTTAGTGATAACTGAAGAAAACATCCAAATTCAAACTCTGAAGTGTGGTTTCTATTGCATGTGTGTGAGCTTTGAATCATTATAAATTCAAGAAGTGCTTATAAATGTTGCTTCTGAGGGACAACATGGGGGTTCAAGCCCAGTTCATCAAGAAATCTGTAGAAGGGTCTTTAGGCAGTGATGGGGGAAGCAGGGCTTTGGACAGATATACATGTTGTTATAGAAAAGACAAGGTAAAAACTCTATCATAAACAGCTCAGCTGGTAGATGAAGTTTTATTTTTGCTTTCATGTGGTATGGCTAACTAATTCACTTGGAGCTGGGATGACAGCTCAGTCAGGCAAGTGCTTGCTGTGCAATTATAAGAATCTGAGTTTGAACCCGAGCACTTACAAAAATGCGAAGTGCAGTGGTGTGTACCTGAAATTCTAGCACTGGGGAGGGATGGACAGGAGGATCCCTGGGCTCACAGGCCAGCCAGCCTCGCTGAATTTGTAGCTCCAGGTCTCAGTGAAAAACCCTCTCTCAAAAAATAAGGTTGATCATCCCTAATTTAAAGCTGTACTACAGAGCAATAGTAAGAAAAACTGCATGGTACTGGCATAGAAACAGGGTGATCAGTGGAACCAAACTGAAGACCCAGAAGTAAACCCACACTCCTATATGTATTTTGATTTTCAACAAAGAAGCCAAAACCATACAGTAGAAAAAGAAAGTATCTTCAACAAATGGAGTTGATATACATGTAGAAAAAGGCAAATAGACTCATATTTATTATCCTGCACAAAACTCAAGTTCAAGTGGATCAAAGACCTTGACATAAAACCAGATACTCTAAATCTACTAGAAGACAAAGTGGGAAAAAAATCTGGAACTCAGTGGCATAGGAGACTACTTCCCAAACAGAATATCAACAGCCCAGGCTCTGAGATCAACAATTGATAAATGGGACCTCATGAAACTGAAAAGCTTCTCTACGTCAAAGGACACTGTCAATAGCACAAAATGGCAGCCTACAGATTGGGAAAAGATCTTCAACAACCCTACATCAGACAGAAGGATAATATCTAAAACATGCAAAGAACTTAAGAAATTAAACAGCAACAAATCAAATAATCCAATTAAAAAAATGGGGAACAGAGCTAAACCAAGAATTCACACCAGAGGAATCTTGAATGGCTGAGAAGCACTTAAAGAAATGCTCAGTATCCTTAGTCACCAGAGAAATGCAAATCAAAATGATTTTAAGACTTAATCGGTACACCAGTCAGAATGGCTAAGATCAAAAACTCAAGTGACAATACATGCTGGAGGGCATGTGGAGAAAGGGGAACCCTCCTCCATTGCTGGTAGGAATGTGAACTTGTACAACCTCTCTGGAAATCAATCTGGCACTTTTTTAGAAAACTGGAAATAGTTCTACCTCAAGACCTAGCTATACCACTCCTGGGCATAAACCCAAAAGATGCTTCATCATACAACAAGGACATTTGCTCAACTATATTCATAGCCACTTTATTCATAATAGCCAGAAACTGGAAACAACCTAGATGTTCCTCAACTGAAGAATGAATACAGAAATTGTGGTACATTTATATAATGGAATACTAGTTAGCAATTATAAACAAAGAAATCATGACATTTGCAGGCAAAATGCAGGATGGAACAAGAAAAGATCATCCTAAGTGAGATAACCCAGACCCAGAAAGACAGACATGGTATGTACTCACTTATAAGCAGATATTAGACCTGTAGTACAGGATAACCATAATACAATCCACAGGCCCAAAGAAGCTAAGTAACAAGGAGGGCCCAAGAGAGGGTGCCTGAATGTTACTCAGAAGGGAAAATAGAATAGACAGCAGAGGTGGATGAAGAGAGGGAACTGGGCAGGAGATGGAACGGGGAGGGAAACAAGAGTGGGGATCATCTATGGGGAGAATGGGGGTGGGAGGTGAGAGGGCTGGAACAAGAAGGGAAACTGAGGGGGGCGTCTCTTTGTCAAGCTGGAGGCCTGGGACAGGGTGGGCTCCTGGGAGGATACGGGTGTCATTCTAGCCGAGACTCCTAAGGGGAGGACACATGAAGACTGAAGTAACCACCTCCTAGCCAGGAAGGACTAGTGGAAGGAGGGGAACAACAATACACTCATAAAACCCGTGATCCAAAAATGACTCTGCCTACAAGAAGTGCAGGGATGAAGAGGGAACAGAGAGTGAGGGAAAGTCCAACCAGTGATTAGCCCAACCTGAGACCCACCCCAAGGTAGGGAGCCAGCCCCTGACACTATTAATGATGCTCTCATCTGCTTGCAGACAGGACCCTAACTTAATTGTCCTCTGGGAGGCTGCAGCCAGCAGCAGATGGAGACAGATGCTGGGACTTGCAGTCAAAACATGGGGCAGAGCTCCGGGGATCCTGTGGAAGTGTTGGGGAAAAAATGGAAGGTCCTGAGGGAACAGGAACTGCACAAGAAGACCAACAGAGATAACCACCCAGTCCCATGAGGGCTTTCAGAGACTGAGACATCAAGTAAGGAGCATGCATGATCTGGACCTAGGCTCCCTGCACATATGTGGCTGATGGGAGTCTTGGTCTTCATGTGGGGAGTCTGGTGAGAGGAGTAGAGGGGGCTGTTTCTAACATGGACTCTATCGCCTGCTTTTGGATCACTTCCTCCTGGCAGTGTTGCCTGGCCTGGCCTCAGGGGATGAAGATATGCTCAGTCCAGGTGTGACTTGATGTACTGGGGAGGCTAAAACAGGGAGGGAGCCTTACCTTTTCTGGGGAAAGGAAGAAGGGAGGAGGAAAGGAGGGGAAGTGGAGAGACTGGGAGGAGGGGAGGGAGAGGGCACCCTTGGGGTGTAAAGTAAATACACTGAAATAAAATAAAAGAAAAAATAAGGTTGATAAGATCTGAGAAAGAATGTTATTTATGGCTGACCTCTTGTGTACACATGTACAGAAACAGATATCAACACACACACACACACACACACACACACACACTCACACACTCACAGTCATTTGTTAAGAGCAATTGCAACTTTAGTTAGCATATGTTTTGTGGCTCAGAGTGGAAAAGCTTCATGATTAAGGAATAATGTGATGTAATCAAAGATACTCATTGCTCTTGGAGAGAATCTTAAGAGCACAATCTTGCACAACCGTTTTAACCGGGGGCTCTCCCGCCTTTGTGCCCTTTCCTTACTTGTGTCTTGGAAGTTGACGTCATTGCCGTTGTATGCGTTCTTCAGCTTGTTGGTCATCACCCGGAGAGCCATGATCTGCTGTCTGATGAGAGTGTCGGGCCGGGTGATGTCCACCTCCACCTCGGGGTTGTTGATTTGGTTGGTCAGCCCGTCATTCATGATCTCAGGCAGGTATCTGTGAGGCAGAGAGGAAGAGGCGGGTCGGCTGATGGTGCAGTGACCTGGGAACTGACGCCTGCCCTGATACCTCAGACAGAAAGCCAAGTCTCCTGGGGCAAACTGTAGTGAATGTTTGGGAAAGTGATCCCAACTGTAAGGGTGAGTGTTGTGAGACAGAGTGCAGCCTGCAGAGTGCAGCCGGAAGGCCTTCAGACTCATGTTTTACGCACAGAAAGTTCGTATGTAGGTTCATCTCTAAATGAGCACTAAATTGTGGATTAGGGTAAATCATTCTTCAGGTTAACTACCCTTCCCCTCCTCCACCCAAAGAGTTCTGAGGTTCCAGTAGCTTCCTAGTACAAAGTTCTTCTGGATATTAAAAAAGTCTTTGAGATGTTTCAGGCAAAGTCAGTGATGGCTTAGGCCTTTGACATGTCTAGCAGGGCTTTTGTTTCTATTTAGGCAGTGCTGTGAATCGAACCAGGGTCTTATGTATGCTAGGCAAGTGCCCTACCAATGAGCCACACCCATATCATAGGCTTTTAATTTTGTAATATCATCTTGGGTCTAATTTCATAGCATGTCAACATTCAGTTAAAAATAAAAGGCTAAAATCTTATTTAATGCTTCTTGTTTAATACTTTTTGTCAGTTTTTTAACATGCTGGATGATGTCACCCGGAAGGTTTTTCGAAAGGGGAATAAAGAGCCCATGAGCGTGTTTGGAGGCCTGGTCACTCCTTATGCTCATGACCCATGAACTCTGCAGTCCTCCCGCTCTCGATGTCGGGAAACTTCTCTCATATGCTCCTTTCTTTCACCTACATCTCCTTGGAGCATAGGTGGTTACAGTGGCTCAGACAAACCTCTCCAGGGTAACCTGCACGTGCGGTCTGGCTAATCTTCCCGAAACCTCGCCCTCACCGGTTTCTCCTCCAGCTTGAAGGACAGCGATTTAAAGAGCACTGACTGAGGAACTACACTGTGAAATTCCAGCCCGTGTAACAGAGAGGTGTGCCTGTCCCGCGCTGTGTGAATAGAAAGCCAAAGCCAACTGATGAAAAGCAAGTGTAGAGTCTAGCAAGCGGTAAAACTGAGTTCTACAAGATGCTTCGACAAGCTGGGTCTGTAACTGGCATCTGGCGTGTGTGTGTGTGTGTGTGTGTGTGTGTGTGTGTGTGTGTGTGTGCAGTCTTGGTGAGGAAAATTCATATCGAGTCAGGGCTAAACTGATTTAGAGAACAGCCGAGCGCTGGCTACTGCAGACCTGACCGCTAACTTGCTGGTAGGCAGTACATCCCATTTTCATGGTTAGAAAAGAGTGAGATTGTGTTATGAGCAGAGGAAAAAGCCAGGAACCTTTCCCCACCACATTGCTCTGCAGGGTTTTCTGTGTTTGTTTATTTTTGTTATTGTTTTTTTATATTTTTTTTGTCCATAATGATTTAAATCTGAAAGATATTCAAATAGGACTCTTGTTTTCTCCTAAGACAGTTCCAGCTCTCAAGAATCTGGCCTTAGGTTTGTGTGGGCATTCCGGGTACTGTGCAAACAACCACTCCAGGTTGAGGAACTGACCTGTCACTGATCTGTCGTCACCAGGCTATGCAAGCCTCATCAGCCTGGCTTACTCTGTCTTTTCCTCTGTGTCATGCTTTTCATTCAGGGCATTTCAAAATATACAGAAATAGAGATGACAATATAAGGAACCTCTGCAACTAAAATTTGAATTCCCTTTCCTGTTCCTGCAAAGGTGCCGTCCATGCCTGTGTCCTGGTCAGAAATCAATGGCACCCCAGGGGGGCAATAGGGGCAATTCCATGGAAAGACTATTTACAAGGGTGCCGGTGTGACTGGAGGGAACTGTACAAGGTGACAGAAGGAGCCTTAGAGACGAAGGAGAGACATGTTACCAGGATGCACCAGAGCTGAAGCCATGGCCTCACTACTGTCCTGACAGGGAGGGAGGTGTCAGAGGGTTGCTGACCTCAGCAGTTCTTTTTGGCTGAGCCTAACTGGAAGCCAACTGATGGGGAACTCAGAGGATCTGGCTTCCATGGCACCAGCCAGCGGCCAGGGTGGAGGCACAGAACAACTTTTAGGGGATAACAAGGGTGTTTTTGTTGTTGTTGTTGGTTTTGTTTTTTTAGTAGTATTTTGCTCTGCGGGGTGTTGCTCCAAAACTCAGGCTGGCCTCGAACTTGATAGGCTTTCCTCTGCCTCCTGATTCCTGAGATCCAGGGATATAGCACCATGGCTGGCCATGGGCTTGGCATGTGCTGTTTCAAGTGCAAACTGTGGTTTCTGACCGGTCAGGCTGGGGGCCCTGACTGAGTCTCTCCTGCTCCTCCTGCTTTGATGGGCAGCTGAGCTGACCCCCCCCCAGTTCATCATTCCCATCTACATATATGTGGACTGCCCTTATGCGTGGTATTCTTGCCTCTTCTAAAAATTACTTTCCAAAGGCCAGAAACCAAAGAATACAGTATGTACAGGAGGAGCCACACGGAAGGAGTGACGCTCCGGCGATGTGTGGAAATTAAGTGTTATGCATGGCATATTTGTATAGGGATCGATTTATTCAAACCAGAGGTCTCCAGAACAAGCTGTGTGTTTCCACCTATATTTGGAACAAAACTGACTTTTGTACAAAATAAAAGCAAAATGCAGAATGCATGACAAATTCTTTTCCATGAACCTTCAAGTTATCTCTGCCCTAAAAATAATGTTAAGAGGAAAAACAAAACATTAAACCCAAGTATCCATCTATCTTTATTTTTGCAGTAAATGTAAACTCCTGCCGTTCTTTTAAATATATCTGGAGCGTAAGCAAATTCTTGTTGGCCCAGAGACTGTCCTCCCAGTGTAACTTCTAACACATGGCATTAAATTGGCTGTTTCTGACAGGGTACTGTGACTGCCAGATTCCTGGAGTTCAGTAATGATGACAGCCCACCCGAATACATGGGAAGCACAAGCCATCAGCTGCTGCTGCAGTTCTAGGGGCCGCAAGGTGGTGGCCGGTGCTCCTGCTGCTCTGTATTCCGGTCATTATTCCTGCAGACGTGCCCAGGCTGCGTCAGAGGGGGCGCCGTCTCTCTTGCACTCCATGGGCAGTGCTTAGCTAGCCTCATTTGTCAGCAGCTTGCTGCAGTAGCCTGCATGGGAATGCCGCCCCTGGGAGCCTGGACATTCAGCAGCAGTGAGAGACTGCCAGGCAAGCCCAGCATCTCACCGTGCTTGGTGATGCTGAGCCACTTACAATCAGAACAAGGAGCAGGGCCCTCGTGCCCCCCAGAATGCTTCTTCCTCTCGGTGCTTTTCAAGGGCGACTTCAGAAATTTAGACATAAAATAGTTGGAACATAAAACAGCTATTTTTGCCACTGTAGATACAGATGCTTATGCGATATCTGTGGCAGACAACTGTGTAGTTGGAAGGGGATGGGAAAAGGGATGGGAAAGGATGTGAAGAACCCAGAAGGTTTTTTCTTCACTCAGCTTTAGCACAAGTCTTTTGAGTGACAGCAACTTGCACCTTTGGGAACATAGACCGAGGGTGTTGGCACCCACAGCCCAGGTTGGATGCACACATACTGGAAATAGGAATGACTTGGCTTTGAGGACAAATTGGAGTGCCTAACAAGGGTGTTGTCCCTGTCAATTATTTACACTGTGCTGTGGCAGCCAATTGTAAGCTCACTTTTTTTGGGCTTCTGCTTGCAAGAGTGTGGCAAGGAGCTAAATGTTGACAGTTCCGCAGAATTATTTTTCCTCACATCTAATGTCATGTTGTTAATGTGGGGTTCCTTGATATCAACCAAGCATAACCGATGAGGCTGGAAGAGTCCCGAGAGAAGGCAGAAAGTACTGAGGGAGCAAAGCGTTCTTTTCAGTGGGAGGCAGGGGCCCGCACGTGGTGTGCCGGAGAAGTCACACGCACGGCTGGCAGCTCTGTAACCTAAGAAGCAGTAACATGCGTCTTATAGAAGCTTCTCCGAGGCTAACCGCTGTGCCTGCCACCCACACCCCAAGCTTGGGTCGGGGTTTTCAGAAAGAAGGCCTGGTTGCTATGTAAATGCGCTTGCTGAGAGGCATGTCAACCTATCAGCACGCAGTATTGCTTTCTAGCACGCCCTGTTTGTTCTCACAGAAGCAGCTCCACGCGCAAGGAAAGGTACACAGACCTTGGAGTCAAAGCAGAGGGGTGCCAGGAAAGGAAGGCTGAGAGGAGCTACAGATGGGGTTGGCTATGAATTTAAATGGCATCTGTGCCAGGCACTGTGACAAAGTACCTGGGAAAGCCAACCGAAGTAGGGAATGTTTGATCTTGGCTCACTGTTTGAGAGATCTCCATCCATGCTCATCTGCAGCTGTTGCTTTGGGTCTGAGGTAAGGAGGCAGAAGACCGTGGAGGAGGACGCACGGTAAGGCACTCACCTCACGACAGCCAGGATGTGACTGAGGGCAGGGTGTGCTCATTAAGGACAGGCCTCCTGTGTCCCCTACCCTCCAATTAAGCTCTATCGAAACCTAGTTCCACAGTCTTTTAACAATACCATCAAATGGCAAATCCATCAGTTGATTGGTCCCCTGATTAGGTCAAAGGCTTCATGTTCTCTCAGTCCTGCCAAGCTTCATGGTTAAGCACTGTCCGGGAAACAGGCTGTTAACATGTGAGGCTTTGGGGTAAGGTGGCAGGTTCGTACTGAACCATGAAGCTTAGCCAGAACTGGGGCGCCCAAGTGCTGCCCTGGGTTTCTTTTCAAGCGCCCGATAGTCCTGACTGAGGCTACCCTGCGGCACAGACGGAAAAGTGAGATAAGAGCAGTTTCCACTCCCTAGTTACCATGTGCTGCACATCTCTACAGGAATTCTAGTTGTGAGCCACACACTCATTCATTTTTAGCATAGTCAAAGTCTGCCTGATATAAGGAGATACACTATCTATATAGAGCCAGAATTTCTTCCATGCAGTTCCAAATTTTGAAGGTCTCCATTTTTTTTTTCTCCTCCTG